ATTTGGGCAAGGACATTCTCTCATGTACCTACTACCAAGCACATTAGATAATCTATGGCGTTGGTTGTGTCCAGATGCTGACCTAAGCTGCAGGAGAAGCATGTCTCCATTGGAAAGGGGCTTCCCATTCACAGAGAAATGGGTCCCACATCCTGGGACACTCCATTTCAATAAACTGAGAGCAGCTCTTTGGAAATGAAGGGTATCAGCAGCTCTAGTCTACAATACCTAAGAAAATTCAGACCCTTTAAAATGACAGAAACACTCTGTTCAGAAAACACAACCTTTTACGGACTCGTTCTGCTTTGACTGGGAGCTTTGCCAAGGATTTCAGCTGGAGGAGGAATGAGGCCCTTCATTTCAGTTAGCTAGAACAAAACAACACAAACAGCATCGCAAATGCCCATCTGGGACGTTTACAGGCAAGGAAGTCTGTTTTCTTATCTACCTCCTCCTCAGAATACAGTGAAACACTGGGGCCCTTTTTGCCTTTGTTGAATTAAATTTTGACAGCACACAGAAGTAAAAAGCTGCCCCCCTTTTTGGTCCTGTGAACCACAGCTGGAAGGTTACGCCAGTCTTCTGCCTGACTGGAAATAAAAGTGTCAAGAATAAAGGATGGGCACTTCTTAGGAAGACCATACATCCCCCATCCTGTGGAAAAAGGCATCAAGGAAGCTACTCTAGCAATATCACTGCCTGAGCTGTCTGCACAAGTGACTTAGCACTTCTGAAATTAGGAATGTCTACTACATAGAGAAAGGTTGAGGGGGGGAAATAGAAGACCGAAAACAATATATTTGGCAAGCACATTGCAGAAACTTCTAGTACACACTGCTGTCCCAGACCCAGTGGGCTGTGCTTAACTCATTTGTTTCACGTAGGTGAACCTAGCCAGGATGTTTTCTTTAGTCGTGGGCAGTGTGACAAGAATGGGACATCCAAATAAGGTCACTCAGGATGTGTTTAACAACACCGGGTAAAGTCTGTGGCAAAGGCTCCTGCACACACAGACACAGAGAGCATCCACTGTATGTACCGTTGGCTTAGTGCGTCATTATTCCTAGAATAAATTCTGGAGAGCCACTCCACCCTTGTATTTGCAACGCAAATACACAAAAGATGTGATTGTCCCAGAGCCAGTTATTACGGTGACTTTAAGGAAGGGGAGGCAGAGAGAAGGGCCCCTGATTTCCCTGCCTTTTTTGAAGAGATGCAGTGCAAGGGAAATTGTTTAAAGCAGAGGTGGTTTCAAATCTGTCAACCCAAACTCCCTTGTGATCTTTGAAACAGCAGAGAGCAAAAGGCTTCCTGAGGCCATCCCAGACACCCAGAGAGCACAGAGTTCTGCAAAAGGACAAGCCACACACCTGTTTAAATAGAAGTCAATATGCTTTATTAAGCAACAGTGCTACAGGTGCTCCTACATGATGAAAGCTTGTCCAGCACTGAGAGGGAACGTGCGTTTTCACTCACAGGCCGTAACAGGGAAGGCAACCCCATTGTACTGAGCAGGAAGCTCCCTTTTTTAGCCTGAAAATTTTGGATGGTGCATAAACCATTTTCAAGGGGTCTGTAAAAAGTGACTGAGAGCAAATCACTTGTAGTGACTTGAATTTGTTGTAAAAAGCTTGCCTTTCACTTGCAAGTCCTCTGCAGTTGATTGCAGTGATAAGCAATAAAAGAAAGGAGTTACTTTGCTAGCAGTGGGACAAGGAATGACATAAGTTAGTGAGATCAGGGTTTTACGGATTTGAAACTATAGTTTTGATCCAAAAATGACTTAATGCTGAAACTTAAAGCAGTCAAAATGAGGGAAAGTCAGATCCCAGGGTGCCTCCATGACCCTCACTCAGTTCCTTCTGTGTACAGCTTTGGGTATAATTTGCAGTTAAATGATAATATTTAAATAAATTACAAATCTTTCCACTGATTTGCTTTGCTTCATTCAGCACAGGTGTTTATGTTCATTTACAGATGTTCAGCAGTCTGGGCCCCATTTGCTGTGTGTCCTGGGCTAGCACTCCTACCAACGAGGCACAAATATCACAGGCATTACAGCTGAGGCACCCAGCCCAGTTCAGCACCCAGACTAACTGCCTTAACCAGGCCTGTGGTGTCCCTGAAGCAAGGAGCATGGAAGCAGCAGGAACAGGCCTGGGATGAAGGCATGGCAGAGAGAGGGAGGGGAGTGAGACCCACTAAAGGGCAGAACATCAATAGTTTCTTCAAATTTCAGCCTGTGAGTTTCTCATCCATCTTTTCCTTTCAACCTTGCTCCAAAGTGAAAATTCCCTCGCTTTATCTCAGTGGTTCCTGACATCCCCCATGGGGGGTAACTCCAGGCTGTCTCCCAGCTGCAGGATGCTTCCAAGGAAAGCCCTGTGGCACTTGACACTGGTTGTATAACATCACTGAGATGGGACGTGGACAATGTGACCATCTTGACCATAGAATCATCCGTGTTCAGTCCTAAAGCATAGGTCAGACCTACTCTTTCCCACCAGCATGTCTCATGCTCCACATGTACTCACATGGCTGTTTTCACAGCGCTCACTTTCCCTCCTATCTGCTTAAAAGTGTAGGCTCCTCATGGAAGGGACTAAGCTGTTTTCCTATTTGAACAAAACTGAGCACTACCTGAATATCCATTTGGACTAAGTTAGCAGTTAAAGATGAACAGCAGTTCTGAGTTCACCGAAATGTTTTTGCTCTTCAAATTCAGTTCTGGTTTTCTTTCTTTCTTCTAAATCAAGTAATATCTGTAAGACTGCAGCTGATTACTTACTGAGAACTGAGAAAAGCTGCCTTGATTCATCAAACATCTCAGAACAATATAAGAAATCTAAAAAAAGCAATACCGACATACGTGGTAAGGGTGCAGAAATGTTACTGCTGTTGTAACAGCATAACAATACATGAGAAGAAAGGCTGTTCTCACTAACAGACACAGCTGAAGAAGTCAACAAGCTTTCATACACCCGGTCACTTCAGTAACAGAATGGGTAGGAGAAGGTAAGTGGCATACCAACAGAAGGAATAAGTGGAGCAGCCTGGAATAAAAAAGAAAAGGACTGTTAAAAAGAACAACGTGTAGTGGTCATCCATAGATTTAAAACAAAGGCCTATGAAAAGGCAAAATTTGCCTTATGACCTTCACAGAGACTTAAATACATTCACTTTAGCCCAGCAGCTTAAACAGAACTCTGAGGAGTATGGAGTTAAGCTGACCCTATAGGAAAATTTTGAATATGTCAAACAATTTAACCACGTGAAAGCAGTCTTTGCTTCTTTGACACACAAAACACCAAAACAGCTCCTCACAACTGGCATGTGCTAAAATGGGGTTTCAATACATTTTTCTAACATCTGAGATCTGTTTCTCTGCAGCTATGACAGTGGAGAGAGATCAGCTCAGTGAACAATGGCAAGCACAGAAAAATGTCATGCTGAATATGAAATATCAAAGCAGAGAAACTGTGTTCACAAAAGAATCACAAAAAAAAACCCCAAGAGGACACACTACCCTCTCACAGAAGGACATGAGTGACTCTCACAGAAACTTTTGCAACAGCTTCTGAGGTATACATATGCACATTTCCATGGTACTCTAGTGGAAAGGAACAAAAGAAAAACAAAATAAACAAACAATAAACCAACCAACCCCCCCAAACATTTGTTTTAATACCAGAATGAGAAATATTGGTGGATAATTTCAACAATAAAAAGGCATGTCACTTTAAAAAGAAAAAAGCAACCCTACTTTCTTTCCAAGGTATCCTTTAAATTGAAGCATGTCAGACATTATAACCAGTAAAACATCTGTAGCCTAGCTTGTCTTTCAGTGAAGACAGCTTTGTCACTCTACTTAGTGAAAGATATGACCCTTATACACTTTGGCTAAACAATGCTATCATTTACACAGTGTATATACACTGATGCAAGTCTCTGGCTTTACACAGGTATGACAGAAGAATTTGGCAGTGTTTTGCTAATTTTAAGCAATAAAAGCAAATCAAATCAGCTTATTCAGTTGGTTTCACTTGTATCAATCCATCAATCCATGTTTGGTGGTGGCAGCATTGCTCCACAGCTTGTTAATGAAACTAAGAATTCTTTGTACTCTGTCCAACAAGAGATTGTAACTGAACCTAAGACTGCTACAACTAAAATCCTCATTTTTCCTTAAAAAAAATGTATTGTCCAGTACTCTTTCCAGTTTTGTATTAATTTTTTAAAGAAAACTTAACACAGTCTCGTTTTATAACCTGTTCTTCCTATCACTCTTTACACAGTGTTGCATTAGTACAGCATTTTCATACAATAAATGGAAGTATTTTTTTTTTAGCTCAGAAAATCTGTTTGTAAAGATGCAGAACATTGGCAGGACAACTGGAAAGCAGGTATTGTGTCCTGGAGCATTTTTTTAACATCACTGCCCACTTATTACTTTTCCCCTTGTAGTCCTTCCAAGCTTGCTTGCTGTACCTGAGTACTAAAAATGTGCCAGTATGAGTGATTCAGGTTTGATTCTGATCTTAGATCTGCTGGTCACACTAACCCCTATGACTCCATGAAAGACTGCCAGCCAGATGTGCAATGCAGGAACAAACATGCAGTTTTAAATGTTTTACACGTAATTTTCAGTTGTTTGGCTGGCTTTAAATTATTTAAGTGACTCAAAATGAATCAGGAGAAATAAAAGGGACAATTTATTTGAAGTGGGTCATGCTCATATCAAGTTTCCTTTGCTTAAATGGAGTGACACAAGTATCAGCACCACAGGCTTACTGCTAAACTTGCACCATAATGAAGGAGGAACTAGGCCCAGAGCAAACTAATATCAGCTTTTGATACACTTGCAAAATATTGTATCAGTATTTGCTGTTTCCAGTGGTAAATCAGATCTAGTTTGGAAACCGAGAGTGCAGGTGGCAATCTGAATAAACACGTCTGGAAAAAAAGGGATTGTTCAGGTTTGGAGGGTCATTCCCTTCAGTAAAAGTAAACTGCAGTGGATTGCTCTTCCTGGACCGAACAGTAGGGGCGTGGGAAGCTTTCAGATGTCACAGGGTTGTCGATAACATTTGAACATATGATTAGCTTTCGTGAGCTGTCTTTAGAAACCTTACATTTCTTCCCCCCCGCACCTTAGCCAGAGATCCTTCCCTTGAGGTTTCGGGCCACTTAAAATGTTGCTTTGACAAAAATCAAGGATGTGGAGAAGTTTTTCCTGTGTGATGTCACTTTGCTGCCCTTTATAAGACTCTGCAGAAAAGAAGGGAACTTATCTGAGGGTTCACTCTCCAAACACAGGTGACCAGGAGCAAGCAAGAAGCACAGACTCACATCAAGTTGCAGATACCGACCAACTGCAAGGAAGGGTGAGCCATGCCACAGAGCAGTGCTTACTACCTGCTGCTGGTACTCTGTAGCCTGAAGGCTACCCTCGCCTTTCCCAACTCCTCTCCACTGCTGAATCCCAGTTGGGGGAATGAAGATCGCCTGATGCACCTCTACACAGATACAGAGAGGAACAGCTTCCATCTCCAAATCAATGCTGATGGCTATGTTGATGGTGCTCCTCACCAAACCATTTACAGTAAGTGGCTTACTATGGAACCTCAGTCTTCAGGGGACTAGGGGAGGGAGACCAAGGCTTTTGCTACTTCACTACCTATAGAAAATCCCCTTCTCTTGTTAGGCAGGCAGAAGAGGAGTATACCTATGGGAGGGAAAAAAATATTCCCTCTTGTAACTAAAAGGTTCTTAAATTGCCTTGTCATAATTAATTTTCATGGAAAACTGAGATATTTTTCTTCCTTTGCAGAAAACCTGGCCCAAACACTATGGGTGATAGAAAAATTAGGGTGTTTTTTAAGACGTATAGTTCTTTCATAGCATTTCAGAAGTACTTCTCTTTTAGCGGCACTCAAATCACAGGTAGGTAGGAATCATAAAGTCATGTTCAGTATTATTGCTGCACAGAATCTTCTTCATAAACTCAAATAAAAACATAAGCATATGTAATGATGTTTTCACAGAAGTCTATAAGGCGCAAAGGATGTTTTCTAAGTTATCATATAATCAAGGAGAAAAAAGGATCATGTTCTGCTATTTTTTTGTTTTGTGTTTTTTGGGGCTTTTTTAGGAATCACTAATGAAAGTAATTATTTTTAGGAATTACTAATGAAAGTAATGAACACTGGCAAGAAAGCTTGCACTGTCTTCCTGTATCTTTAAAGGTGTCATAAAACTCCTTTTAGGTTTATGGGTCAAGAACAAGAGTGATGTTTTAGAGAACAGAGAGGAAAACATGTTTCTCCCATATCTGCCATGAAGCAAACACACCAGCATTGGGAAGGGTGGGGCAAGAAGGGTAAAAAATCAGGCAACAAAAGGGGTCGTTAAAGGGAGGGTCACTGAATCTCTGCTGGGTCACCACAGTACCACTGAGATAAATGAGAAGTGAAAAGTTCTGCACAAGGGCTGCAACAACCCCCTGCAGCTGCACAGGCTGGATGTGTACAGCCCTCCTGGATAGGACCTGAGGGTTACAGCAGGCACTGAGTCAAACACTGGCATTGAGAGGAAGGCAAACCATCTACTGTGATCAGCAGATCAAGGAAAGTTATTCCCACGTTACTCAGCACCGGTGAAACTGCTCTTGGAGCTCTACAGCAGCCCCAGTTCAAGGTGGATGTGGAGAAACTGGAGCTGCTCTGACAGAGGGTTTTCAGGATGGTCAGGGGCCTTGAGCATGATCTGTCAGGAAAGGCTGGGGGAGATGGGTTTGTTTAGTATAGCAAAAAGGAGGCTAAAGATGACCTAATAACACAGGGCGGTCACAAAGGTGAGAGAGACAAACTCCCCTTGGTAGTGGCCAACGACAGAACTAAAGGCAATGTCCCCATACTGTGGTTTGGGACTTCAGAGAGGATGCTAAGGGAAATAAAAAGTTGTCTTTGGGAGTTAGTACAGCGCTCAATAGGGCACCCAGGGGGGTGGTGGTGTCTCCATCCTGGGAGCATTCCAAAACTCAGACAGACAAAGCCAACAGCTAACCTGATCTTGGGTGGGCAAATAGTCCCGGGTTTCACGGGGAGGTTTGCTCAGACCCCCAGAGGACACTTCCAGCCACAGCATCTGTAGATCTGCAAAGCAACTGTGCAATGTCAAACTGGGTCATGGACTCGACATCTTTGTTTTAATAAACAGGTGCCCTAATGATCAAGTCCGAGGGTGCTGGCTCGGTGATAATCACAGGCGTGAAGAGTGGACGCTACCTGTGTATGGACATGAGAGGAAACATTTTTGGTTCGGTGAGTGACCTTTACTAAGACAAACCTGAAAGGCAGGTGCAGTCTGCAAGCATGGTGCCTACTTCCTCAGCTACAGCTACAGTAGGGATGCAGATTTAAGTCAGCTGAGAACCTGTCACTTAGGTTAAACTTCCCCCTGTTCTTTGTCTGTATTGAGTTGTGGAGCTGACAAAAATCACCTGAGTTCCTGCTTGTGTAAATGAGGAAAGAACAAGATCCAGTGATGGATCAATCTGAATTCCTGCTGTAGCATAGAGCCATGGGGTGGGAGTAGCTCAAACAGTGCTCAATTTCTCTGAAAGAAAACAGTGTTATTGTTATAATACCTTTGCTGAAAGCATGGGCAAGCATCTCAGACCTACATCTGACTAAGCCTGAGTTACAGGGCTGGCAGATCAGAAAAACATTTGCTGCAAGAACTTGCCCCCTTTTCCATCTTTAGTTGGAACCTGGCATTCACTAATCCCTCTGCTTACACCTGTCTTTCTTTTTCCCCTAAGCATTACTTCAGTCAAGACGACTGTGTGTTCAACCACAAGACGCTGGAAAATGGATACGATGTGTACCAATCTCCCAAACACAACTTCCTGGTTAGCTTAGGCAGAGTTAAACAAGCTTTTCTCCCTGGTGTGAATCCACCACCATACTCCCAGTTTTTATCCAGGAGGAATGAAATCCCTCTGTTTCGATTCAACACACCTGAACCCCACAGAAACACTAGAAGCGCAGATATCGACCCAATGGATCCTCATCAGATCCTGGTCCCACAGAGAAAGACCTCTCTGTTTGGATCTCAGCTGCAGCAGCAAACAGACTTTTCCCATGTGCCCAAAGAACCCATGAGAATCAACCAGAACGACGTGGTCAACCCAGATGACCCTCATGCTATGATGGATGCCAGGAGGTACGCAAGTCCTCGCTTCTATATTACAAAATAACTGTGGTCCCACTGCTTGCAAACTGAAGACACGGGCAAATATAATAGGCAAAAGGAACTGTCTGGCATATTCAGTCTGAATGTTGAAATGGCTACTGGAAATCCTGGGAAGAAATCCTTAATTTTAAATTTTGTACCTATAAATGACAGTTTCTGGAAAAAACGAGTTGGTCATTTTCCAGATGGGGATGTGCTTTACTGGAAAGAAGATAAATTTTTTAAAAGAAGAATACAAACCAAACATTTTAGGGTCTGAATCACCACCGTAAGCATGCATCAGCAAAAACGCTAATTCACCTGAATGAAACAAGAAACCAATGTTATGTTTCTGATGTAACTGGGAAAAGCCCTGGAGCATCTGAGATGCCAACAAAGACAGGGAATCCCTTACTAGCACCATCCCTGGCTGTGCAAGCACAGCAGACAAACTGTTATATTATTATATAAAAATTACTATTTATGTTTTTCACTGCTAAGTTGGCTCTTCAGTCTCTTTTTATGCCCATATGAGTAAAAAAGTGACCACTCTGCTGTCATAGGAGCAGCACACATGGAAAACTGGAGTAACTGACAGGAAAACAGGACAGGATCAAATGGCCTGGTGTAGAAAGAGTAATTTCTGACACTTACTGAATCCAAGCTGAGGTCTGAGAAAAAGAGTCTTACTGTCTCGCTAGTGCTTCTCTATCATACTTCTATATTGACTGAGTTCTACCATCATAATATGGAAACATAATGTAGAAACATTAGTTTTGCATATTTCCAAGCCAGAGAGAAGTTCCAGGATCGCTACAAAACCTAATTGATGTAAGGTCTTAGGAACACAGGACAAGTCAAATGATGAGGATTAGACCAAGGGCTCTGACTCGCATTTTGATGTTTTCTCCCTCTGAACTCATTATAGTTTTGATTGGTCTCAAAAGGAAAGGAGTGATTCTAATGAATTTAGGAGAATTTCGGGACAGGCAGATAGCTGCATACTTTCTTGCTTACCCAAATTAAAGCAAGACTTTTTACCTTGCTGTCTACACAGTGGAGAGGTATGATTTCTTTTATATATTCTAGTTTATTAATTCAACTTGATTCCTGTACTATTCTTCTTGGCTTTTGCTTCTTGAGAACTCTGGACTGCAATTACACAAGCAAAGTTTTCATTTTGCTTAAACTGCCATAAGTAAGTCCACAGAGCTCTCCAGGATCCAAGTCAACAGACCTACAGCAACTTGAATTGTGAAAAGTTCTTTCTTGATCTATACCAAACTTCGATGAGAAATGTTGATGGGGTTAAATCTCTGTACCAACTCTATAGTCTATATATTCTCTATATATTCTGTACATTAGAACAAAGGAAGAAGGATTGCTTACTCCATGAGGAGTTGGGGGATTTAGTCCCTAAGCTAAGAGTGAATTCACAGTGGATTTTGCATCAAAAAACATATTTGCAACTATAGAGAACTGTATAGAAATGCTGAAAGAATCAAAGGAGATGCTGGCAATCACCAGCTATAAGAAAGCCTTATTTATATTGCAATATTTATTTATTTATTTGAGTGGGCCTTAAGCCCCACAAAATATTTATAAATATTTATAACAATGTATTATAGAGATTATTTCCTTTTATAAATGTACCAATAAACTTTTCCTTCTCTCCAAATGATGGATTCTGCAACTTCTGTTTAAGCTCCCCATTCCAGAAGGACTCGAGTGAGTAAATGCCATTAGCAGTGTCTGAGATTTTTTTGTCTCACTATCCCCTGTGTTTTTCAGCCTCATAGGATGCATCTTCTGGGGTGTTTCATTCACCACAACTATGAAAGGTCTGTGAAAGGTGATAAGGAAAAAGTGTTAGTAGGTGTAGACTGACCATGAAGGGATTGTCATCTCTACTGGGAAACAACTCCTGCGACCCAGAAGCAGTGGGAAACCACTGATCTAGCAGCTAAGTCCACTAGGAAATATTTGTCATCCTGGCTTCAAGATCTTAGGATAAAAGATGCTTGGTAAATTACCATTACTGCTCACTTATTGCTGCTCATACAAACCATTGTAACTCCATTCCTAGGGCTATGCTAAGGCTCTGTTTTGCAGCAAAACAACCCCATCAGTGTTTCACCCCTCCTTCTTTTGCCAGGGTGGGGTTTTGGAATTACACAGCTTGATGCTTTGATATACCCTTATATCTTCCCTTCCGAGACAGTGCTCTTTCCGCCCAGAGCTGATGAAGGTGCAAGGACAAGGGGCAGAGGAGACTGAGCTGGCCCTTTCAAGACCTCCCAGCTATTTTTTTTTCTATTGCTAGATTTTATTTCACTGCAGACTATGTAATTTTACAAAGTGCTCTTCAGTAATAATCCTGTAATCCTGTTTGAGAACAGTCCCAGGCAGTAGAGCTTGCCTAAAGTACTGAACAATGTAACAGCTTAACATCTGCTCATGCAACCACTGTTTCTGCTCTCCTGCCTGCTGTGCAGGCCTTTGCTAGGATATTTTCATCACCCACCATTCTGTCTTCCCCTACCCTTGTCTTCAACCCTTATCCTGATTTAACAGGGATTCGCCCTCTTTTTACATTATTATCTGATTCTGTGTTTTTTAGAAAATCACAGACATTCAAAGAAATTCCATGGCTAGGAAAGAAAGAGCTTCATACAGAGGATTTATGCTGGAGCAGAAAAACAACATTTCTGCACCCTTTTCAGCCAAGCCCCTGTGTTTTTCACAAGGACGAATGAAGTTTTGAGTTATGTATGCTTGTGAAAGGAGCATGAAAAAAAGAGTAGGGTGCCAGTCAGATACAGGTCTCGAAGGCTACCTAGAGATGAAGATTATGAGATGTATTTGGCTACTCAAAGAAATAAGAGACCCCTTCATTTTTTTTTACCTGGAGTAGTTGTGCTAACATAGGAAGACAGCACCTATGAAGGGTCACACCTGGTTCAGGCTCCTGTTTCTGACAGTAACCAGAACCAGGCATCTGAAAGGATAGTTCCAATAATGATAACGTAGCGCCTGCTTTTTTCCAAGCCTTGTCACACTGTTTTAGATCCTGGAGCATGACGATTCACACATCTTAGAACATCCTTGCGCTTCCCTTTAACCTTTATTCCTTTAATTCTGTAAAACTTCATTAAGCTACCACACATCCCAGTCTACTCTGTGTTCTGTTAAGTGATATTATCTGGATAATATCTAACAGAAATTGAGTATTTTGCTTAGTAACCTAGTTGAGGGCTAGGTGGTTTTGCTGAAGCACACTGTGGACAGCAGCTTGAATTAGACCACAAACCCATTCCAGTACTCTGAGCAAATCCTCATCCCCAACAATTCTTCCCTGCATTCAAACAACATCTGGTGTATAAGCCAGGAGTCTATTTGCTGAGGCTAAGGCACAATCCTAGATGCAGCCTAGATGTTTTCAGAAGAGAGAAGGACCGATTTTAAGACTCAAGAAGTAGTTAAGATTGGCAAATTAGCTAAATTTAACTTCCATTTCTATGATTGCTTGGGTGTTTCACTGATTTTGAAGTCCTTCTGTAAAGTAGGTCTCCCCTTCTTCAACCCTAAATGAAATTCATGTGCCCAAGAGTGAGCTTCATTCCTGTCTGTAAGCTTTCAGGGTAAGCAACATAGGAAGTCACAGAGTTTAAAACCAGCAACTTCCCAAGTGGAATATTGCCTACTTGTTCCCCCAAACTTAACCATGCATTAAGCACCAGCTCCCGGATCTGCTGGTAACAGGAAGTCTTTTACAAAATGCTGTTGGTGTTTTATCTGAATAACTCGGAGGTTTTGATTTATTTAACCCATTTTCAAGGTAGAACTACATTTCCCAGCTCCTCCAGCAAGAATTACAGGTGAGATCTCATCAGTGCCTGCACAATGGCAATGACTGTACAATGATTCCTTACCTGGATGAAAGGCACCTTTCAGGATCAGGCTTGCCTTTCTAAATTCAACATCACCAACTCCCCACTGTCAGTCAGAAGTTAGTATTACCCCAGGTTTTTCTCCTCCATTGTTTTCAGCAATTATCTTCCAGTTTGTAGAGGATATTCTTGTCATTGGTACCAAAGTGCTGTGGTGGGTGGTTTCATGCCATGTCTTTAATTTCACACCTCCAATTCATCATTTCCTCCTCTGCATGATATTCTGACTTAGTTGTTGATGATGATTCCTCACTAATATTTCCACATTCCTATATTTTTATTCAAAGTCATAAAAAAAAAATGCCCCTTAACTTAAGTAGCAACTTTGCTCCAGCTCAGTGCTTGACCTCGGACGTTACTACTTACTCAGATGCCCATAAATTGCTTGCATACCTACTTCACCTTTTTTTTTTTTCTCTAGTAACATTTATCTTTTCCAGTTGAGCTGATGGTTTCCATCGAGGCATGGTGTCAAGTGCTCAATTAAAATTCACCTAAATCATTTTCCATCATTTTTGCCTTGCTAAACATAAGTTCTTCCATTAAAGGACTATCAGTTTAGTCTAGTGTGAACTACTTATGGCAAAAATTCATTTAATTATAGTCAAGGTTTCATTTACCTCTCTTGTCTGTAATTACATTCTCCTTCAGCATTAATTCTAATGCCTCGAATGTTATTAAGGTGAAACTAACAGTTCTGTAAGATTACTTTGTCCTCTGTTCTCAAATAAAAAATATTTTATTTCCTATTCTCTAGTCACACAGTTCCACACCCAACTTGACAGATCTATTTAAAATACTTGCTTACGGATGTGTAATTTTAGATGTGCTTTCAGAATTCTGGGATAAAGATTAGTCATTTCCCCTGACAGAAGCATATTAAATTCTTTAATTCTTGGCTTTAAATGTGGTATTTTGCCTTTCCTCATTCCCATCATCCATCTTCTTTCACCCTTGTGTTCAATACTGCCATAAATGAAGTAATTCATTTGGGGGATATAATTTAAGACCATTCAATCTCTCCTCCATCTACACACTACAACATTTCTGATACTCCTTTTGTTGTTTTCTATTTTGATATACACATATCTCAAGATGGTTTTGCTACTGGCTTTAATTTATTTTGCAAATTCTCATTATTTCATATCTAGCTTCTTTCTACTCCTTATAGTTTCTTTCCCAGAACCAGTAACTCATTCGGAAATGACTCTTGATCCAATCAGGCCTAGAGACCCTCCCTGCCATTTTTGCCTGTTTGTGATATAACTAGGCAATTTTTACACCTCTAATTTAAACAAGCAAAGCTTTCCCCCTTTCTTCCATATTAAGTCCATTTAAGGCTCTTAGGTATAGTTGATCTTGCTAATTTTGTGACTCTTCAGTACAGCTGACCTTATGAAACTAATTTTGTGATTCTTGCCCTTCTGAAATAAAACCTTTTTAAATTCAATTTTCAATAGCTAGCTCTTCCAAAAATATGCTCATGACCTACCACAGTCAAGTCTAGTGCATCACCACTGCTTCACTTCACCTATGGCTTGATCAACCAACTGGGCATTAAGAGGGAGAGAAAAGATCACATCTAGTTATGCTCCAAAAGGGGTTCTGCCTGGACCTCAAGTGCATTCCTTTAGCGCCCAGTAATTGCCTAGTCCCGATTTGTGTTTTTACCCTGGTACCCTCCTATGCCCATAGTCTCAGGGACCTCTGCTATTGTTCTCTGATTGTGCTCTCAGGGGCCCCACTGCCATCTTCTGGTGTTCAGGTAGGATATTCGTAGACTCATCCAGGGCTCCCTGCCTGCCAGAAAACCCCAGGGATGTTCACAAGTGACATGAGAGCCATTTCAGCACAGGAGACCTGCCCAAACAGCAGGTTGGATTTACCACACACAACCAGATCATCCACACAGCAGGTCTGCCATAGCTGTGGGTGTCAGGGAAACAGCTCACATACTGTGCAGTTGATATGTGCTCATGCAGCTGCCATTTGCCTGGGATTACTACATATTCAGAAACCTCAGGCTCATGGCCAAAGCCCTCAAAAGAGGGACACATCTGGGGAAAATCTGACATATTTTAGGTCCAGGCATGTGGGCTGTGGATCTGAGGCAGTCTCATGAAATACCAAAAGCTTGGATAGAGAATACATCTGAACTCAATTCTGTATGTAAAAAAACCCAACCAAACCTCTTCCTATTGCAAAGTCAGGGCTATGTCTGGAAAACAGAAACCCAAGCGAGAACTGTGGGAACAGAGCAAGTATCTTGAAAAAGAGCTGATAGTTTAGGGGAAGGAAATTGTGATATTACCAGAGCACTCTGCCAAAAGGCATGCCTGATGACTGCTAGACATTTAGCAGACTTGCCAGGAGATGATGTTGGTGGAGCCAAAACTGAGGAATAAGTGTGCTATCATGCAGGGAATTTTGAATTCTGATTTGTCTGTACTGTCACCTTTTCCAAATCAAGCCCAGCCTGGAAAAGTACTGCCTAAACATGAATGATGACTTTATCAAAGGAGGGAACAACTTTGCTACCTTCTGAAGCATGCCTATTTTGGGAGATTACCACTGGACTCTTCAGCAAAAGAAAAGATCAGCTCAGAAAGGAGGGGACTGAGTTTCCTTTTGATCTTGGTGTTCTTCACAGTCACCTTTTCTTCTCCTATTCCACCTGAAAAGACCTGTCAAGACAGCTTTTATTTTAACCTTGACCAGTTTAAAAGACTGGCAATTGGTTATGTCACATCTGACTACAGGCCATTATGTGGACAAGCTGAGATATTTCTAACATTTATTTCAGCACTATTTTCCCACAAAGGTATTCAAAAGGAATGTACCTTTTTCTTATCACTTGAAATTCTTATCATCCTGGTAATGTATTTAACAGCTTGATCTGCTTCCACAGCCTCTCTCGCATCTTGGCAGCTACTGCTGAAAATCCACCCTGTAGTTAAAGCCTTGTCTCCTGCTGCTAATTAGAGACTGGCATTTCACAAGGACAAAACATTCATTGCCCACTACTGAGTAATCCCTCAAATATTTATGTTCTGTTACTATTCCTAACAGAACCATCTATAACTGCAGCTCTCCTTTCCCATGATCCCAATAAACTGTATGGAATTACTGTACAAATGTGCAAGAGTCACTTTATTAAAAGAGCAAGAAGACAGATGTCATCTCAGTGTCGATTTAAAGACTTTAAAAGACCAGTGCTGTATATAGACCTAAAGAAAAAAAGACTTTACAATTAACTTCAGAAGCTTCCAAAATTACTGATTTACTTTTTAATGCATAGAGAAGCTTACATCTGATATGATGAAGGTGAAATAATACGTAACTGTATTAGGGGAGGCTATAAGATTACCTACGCCAGCATCCTGACTCCAACAATGTCAAGTGCAGATACACACGGGAAGACTGCAATAGAGGAACTGCAGAACACACTTGACTGCTTATACTCCCCCAGCCACTGGCACATGTTTTTGCACCAATTTAGTGTGTTTTATAAAGTGTTGATTAGGACATTCTAGCTCTTAAGTTTTTAATTGAAAAATGTTATTTCATTAACATAGGAGCTGTTTAGAAAACTGGAACAGTTTCACCCTTTGATATTTTTCATGGTCAGGCACTATTGTATCATCTGCATGCCCTATGGAAGAGTTAACCCAAGATAAAAGAATTTGTTAACAGTAATAGAGAGTAATTTATTAACAGTAATAGAGTCAAAGATCCATAGATCTATCTTCCTCATAGAAGAATAACACCCAAGTGGCAAAGCATTTAACAAGTAGACGTTCCCCCTGGATATTAACCTCATCAGCAAGAGCAAAGTGTTAATTAACATGCTTGAGGGTAGGCAAGAAAACAAAAGAAACCTCTTAAACTCAGGGAAGCACATAAATCACCAGTGTGTTTTGAAATATTTGACAAAAGTTACTGACTTAAGGCAGGATTAGGTGCCCACTCATTTTCTAGCTGATGAAGGATGCACATTTTCAACTTGGTTACTCTGGCTCCAAGAAGTATTAATGGAATGACCGACAAAATTCAGGACATGACAATTACAGAAAAGTTCTAGCTATTTTAAGACCAGCAGTCTCCTGCTATGTAAGCAGCCTTCCTGAAATAAATGGGCACTACCACGGACAGGCAAATTAAGAATGGCTCACCCTCTGCCATTAACTCTGTTAGTAGTCATCAATAAAACTTTTTTGCCTTCTTTGGCTGTGATCAATTTAGTATTCTCTGCTTCAAGGTAAAGAAACCAAGTAGTTTAAAGGACACTGGACAGCATATTTTTAAAAATTATGAAAAAGTTAAAACTTCAAACAGTTAATTTTGAACAGTTGCAAGCAATTTAAGTATATCCTCAACATTTTACACCAGTGGTTCTTCCAGGTAAGAGTCAGGATAGTGCTGATCCGTTAGCCCTAAAAAAGGCTCTTTTTCACAGTAAGAGACCAGCGTAGGGTTTTTCAGGGCTAAAAAAAACAAACGGGAAGTTATATGACCTGAGTAATGCTTCATAAAGTAATATCAACAAAGATTTTTACCTCAAAAGAAATACAGATGAAATGGAGTTCTATTCAGAAGCCTTTATTTTTTAAACAGGCTTAAAATACGCAAATGAAGAAAAAGTATGTGGACATAAATAACATAAATCAGATAGTCACACTCCAAACACCCTAGCTGGGAAAGAATGCAGTACTAAAGCAACTACAGTCATCCAGCGATCAAACTTGCCTAATTCGAGGCAAAACTACTCATCCATCAAGTACCTGATATAATTGACAAAAGGATTCCAGTCAGGTATGACTCACCCTATTGACAAGGTTCCTTTTCAGAAGAGAGACCGTTATTTCAACTATGTTCACATGAGGTTCCTCATCCTGCTTACAGTTAAAAATAAATACTTTATGTTCGTGTACAGTGCTCTTCAACAGAGGTCTCAAAAACCCTAATGGTTTCTTACAAAACACTCCTGAGAGGTAGGTGTATCATCATCCCCTCTTCACAAATGGAAGAGAGATTTGCCCAGAGTCTCACAGCTACTTAGCACCAGAGCCAGGAACATGTCTCCTGACTCTGTACCAAACCTTTTCCACTAGACAATGCTCCTTTTTATGTTATACAACTGCATTCCAAAAAAGTTATTTTAAGACAATATATGTTTAATATTACAATATAGCATATTGTAATAAAACAATGATACAGTACAGTTCATCTTTGAGGTACCATTCTTCTCACCTCCCCAACTCTTTTACTGGGGGAAAACCAAATAATTATGGACTAATGAAGTTTCTGTAGGTGTAGATATACAACTGACTAAGTATTAAGTTTCTGTTCATAAAGAACATTTATGTTATTTCACAAGTGCCAACTTATATCAGGCACTAGGACCATGCAAATCATGTTATTTTAAGACGGTAAGCAGTTGCATGTCTTAATTTTTGCAGTTTAATGTCAATAATTCCAGTCAATCTCAGTACTTACTACAGATATCTTTTCCAAGTGCAGGATAATGATGATCTAGAACCACTTCCTCCTACAAAGCTTCTTAAAAGACTTTTTGGGCTACACATTCAGCTCCCACATCTACTAAGTGAGAATCTTGATTTAGACAAACACATGTGATTTCAGGTTTTAACAAATTTCCATTTTCAAGTTTTATAACAAAGTGACTAACTCCTGTGTTGGGACTGACAGAAGACAACTGAGACTTTGTTAAATCTGATGGCAAAGTACAGTTAAGATGTGAAACAAAATAACCAATCCAGTTCCTCATGTAGGCTCCATGACTCACCACTAATATATTGGCATCTAGTATTTTAGAAACTCCACCGTTATCACAGCTAAGTTCTGTTTCACTGCAGTGGTTCGTCCAAGGGAAAACAAACTGTTCTTCAGATGTTCCTGAGTTTCTGCTTCCTGCACCATGGACATCTTGCTCCTTCTGTTCCAATTCAACAGCTAGCTGACACAGAAATTCAAAGAAATCCCTTGCACGTTCTTTTACCTACAGGGAAAGGTCAGAAAAGATCATTGTGAAGCATGCAAGAGACTTTGCCTTTCAGAAATCTGAGATGGAACTACTTCAGTTAAAAGAAAAACATTAATCACAGACAAGTCTCAGAAATCAGTGAGAAGTTACTGAATGCTGGAAAAACTCCTCTGCCCTTCGAAGCCAAGGCTGGAGGTAATTGCTATCATCCTTCTCCAAATGACAGCTTCATGAGGAGACAATCTCAAAATCAATACTATAGTTCTAAAGAGATTCCCTACTTGGCAGACACTGTAATCAGGTCAAGTGTTTTCAGCTAATAAAATAACGACCTTTAGATGGGCTACGCTCTCAGTAAGATGTTTGAAAGTACGTATGCAATAGCTGCATCTGCACTGAAAGTAAGGCGCAAATAAATACCATACTTCATCCAGTGTTTCTCCTCCAGAAGGCGTGAATGAAGGACATTGCTCTCCAGCAGCCTTTGCCATAGCCTTGAGGTCAGCCAAAGGCCTTCCTTCTGCAACACCGTATTTCTGTAAGAAACCAGAGACGGTTTAGCCAGATGTATCAAGTCTCCGGTACCATTTTCAATACAAACATCTCTTAAGAGCTTTGTTTTAATGGATTCTCGAGTGTAACACACGGGCTTAACTACTTTTTACATTTTATTCCAATACTGGGGGAGGAGGTAACTTCTATCTGCTATTTAAGCTAAATGTATACATACAAAGCGTGCGTATATATATATATATATATATATATATTTGCTGGTGTGCACGCGTATATTTTCAACACTCATTCTTAGCATACAAAATTCAAGTGTCTTTGTAACTGACACTACATTGCAAACACCTCTGTATGTTGCTGTTCACATCAAGATAACTGTACTGTCAAATGTTGTTACGCACATTCCAGAAACCCTGATGTTGATGACTAGGATACAGACACATACTTCTTACTGGGGCTTTCTAGACTTCTATGTCACTATCCACTTATTACAGCACCTAACTGCATATCCACAACAATTAATTTATTAGTCTTCAGAATTTAAAAGTATTGAAACACATCTATTTAAGCCTCTCAATCTCTTTCTCTACAGCAAAATATTGAGAGTTTAAGAACACTAAGACAGATATGAAGAATTCAGTGCCCTGAAACTGATGAAAACGAAATCCTAATCTTATTTTCCTAGATTTCTCTCATGAAAGCAAGGCACAAGAGAATAAAACTTTCCTAATAGGATCAATGACATATGTTCTCTTAAAGTACTTTGCCTCTTTTCATGCAATTCAAACTTAATTCCAGTTATAGAGTAGTGACTTACAACCTGTGTCCTGCAGATACTGTACTGGCATTTCTATACATCCATACAAGTGCTATAAAAGGGGGAAACAAGCATACCAGTGTAACTTTCTAAAATTCTGTATTAGAAACTGTAATAGCTTTTTAAAATATCAGGTGATAAAGCAACTAGAGGAGTTTGGGAGAAATTTACTTGCTGATTTCAGTGGAAGAACTGGAATTTCCGACAGAAAACAAAGATCCAAATGGGAAATGCTACAATCATGTAATGCTCCTTAAACATGTATTTGCATGCTGGCAGTATGCCAACCCACTTTTGGTTTTGTAGCATTTCCTTATTTAAAATTCAGATGACAGTCTTACTGTAGCATCTGAAGGGTGGTTCATACTAGCAGTAACAGCCAGCATCTGAATTTATTCTTAGCAAGACATACTTAAAACCAGACAGGAGGTACATGATGCCTGTTATCAGGCAGAGAAGCTAATCAGGAAAGGAGATTGTTCCATAGACAGAAGAAAGCTTTCCAGGAGTCCTTGTGCAAATGAAAAGGTATAAACAGCTGAAAAGTCAACACTGAGTTGTGCCATCAGGCTAGAGAAGGTAAGCAGAGAAAGTATCTTTAACACTTTACATATGGAGTTAGAAAACAGCTAAGCTTTTTATTACACTTAAGATAATTCCCTCTACACTAAATCTTACCTTACATCACTAAAGCATCACAGTTACAGCACTAATCACTACATTTTGGCTTTGCTTCACAATTCTGCAAATGATTTATAATACCCAATGTGAAGCGTTCAGTTTTCAGTGACTAAAAGTACATCAAACAGTGTTCTCCACTATTAAATTTACCATTTAATAAGCCAAGATACCCATCAATAGCAAGTTACATTTCAAATTGTTCAATGTTCAATATTAAAACATACTGGTTTGGCACTTACTCTCTCTCGAAGTCTTGCATCACACTTGATTTCCAAATCTTTGCAAAACTTATTTTTTCCTAGAATTGTGGCAGCAGTCTAAAAAGTGAATACAAGTCACACCAATGAGCTGTTTTCTCATGGAATAGCCAGACCATCTTAGACCACCACATCCAATGTCAATCACACTAGCAGGACCCAAAAATCCAAGATAAAAAGGCTTTCAGCTAGTAGTCTCTCTCAGAATTGGATATAAGGCCTGTGTCAGGCCATAAAAGGCAGAAAACCTGCATCTTCTGAAAGTTCTTTCACAATTCAAAGCCCAGAACAGTTGAAGACATTTAGCACCTATGAAAGGTGTGCAGCAAGATGAACAGCAGCACAGGATTTACCAGGATAAAAGCCACATCTTCTCTCAAGTATACTGCCACTCACAAAGCAATCATGCCAACACATTCTTTGTAGT